TGGGCGGCAGGGCAGTACGCCACCGAGGAGCGCACCACCCGCAACAACTGGGCCACCAGCCTTTTCTCCGTCACCCCCTAAAACGAACTATCCATACTCCTGAGAAGTGACAGGTTGAAAGGAGAGATTTGGGTCTGGTGTTGGTACTGACTGGTTTTTCTCGGGAGGTGGTATTTGGAAGCCTGCTAAGAGGTTGTGACGTGGAATGAAGGCATGCTGGATCCAAGGTGAATGTGGGCTTGGGTGGGAAGTTTTCTGTTGTTTTGTGAGGGTGTGCTGTGCTTGCATGCGTTGGGTTGGGTGGCTCCTCCTACTCCCACGCATAGCTTATTGTATTCTGGAAGACTATATTTCCCTTCAAAGGGTTGTAATGTAGAAACCAGTGTGGAATAATCATTTTTTGTGTAACTAAATTGGTGGAAACTGTGTGACGTTCGGTTAATCGAATGTGTCTTCGTTTGTGGATAAAAGTATGGGGTTGTGCACGAACTTGATGATGCTCAAACATACAGCAAAGCACACGAAGTGAACCCTTGTTTAGAATTGCTACAAGGAGGTTTGTGCATTAGGAACGGCCTTACAGAAAGGTTAGGTTAGTAGGCATGTAGCTCCATCTTGCTCGATGGATTCCTTCATATATCGGGGTTCCAAGTTGCCTGGTAAAATCCCAAACGAGCACGTCTCCCAGCCGTTCGCAAGATTGCCCCCGACTCCTGGCCCCTGACCGAAAGGGCCACTGTTGTTTCTGTGTGGGCCAAGAGGGCCTTGGCAGCCTGGCTCCGCGTGGATCCATGAGACTCCAGACTGTCGCCGTTCGAGTGTTGGGAGTGGCAGTCTTTTCGCTCAAGATGAGAGCAACAACAAAGGCGTCTCGCTGTTGCCAACAACTTCGACTGGGCTCCATCCAAAACCACCACTCCTGCGCGACAACTTTCGCCACCGCCCAGCCGCTTGCGGAAGTTTTTTGTAATGAAATTGATCTCCTGCTGGCCTGAAACCAGTTGTGTCGCCAACATTCCCAGGAGCAGCAAACAGCGGCCGGAGGATCCACAATTTTTGCTAGCTGGGACAATCCAGGCATCTCTGAAATCGACCCAGTAAAAACCTGAGACATTGCACAGAATGCCGACATAAATCAGGATCTAACTGCCTCATATTTGAGTAGGTGCGAGCGGGGTGGAGGTCTGACGGGAAAATATGCCACAAGTAACCAACTTGGAACTCGATAACGTGAATGGTAAAAAAAAAACGCGTACGGTCACTGTATCGGGTTTTCTGACGGGTTTGGTAAGCGGGGTCACGGATTCAGTCACTAACAACAGGTAAAAAATCACGCGAATGGTCACACATGTAACTCCCGCCAAAAAAACTTGAAACTCAACAAAATTCCCGCTCGCGCCCAACCAATCTGCGAACTTGTAAAAAAACTAAAACCCAATCGGAATCGGATGCGGTTTGGGAACGGATCAACCCTAAACACCTGGCGAGTTACGTGTTTAGGGTTGATCATCCGAAAATGCATCCAGGTTCTTTCTGGGTTTCATTTGGTTTTGGCGGGAGTTTCATCTGTGACCATTCGCGTTTTTTTTTACCAGCTGATTGTGACTGATTCCGTGAAACGCTTTATCAGTCGCGTGAAAACACCCTTTGCAGTGACCGTACCCTTTATTTTTTACCAAAACTGTTTTCGAGTCCCATGATGGTTACGAACGGCATATTTTCCCGAGGTCTGACCGTTGGGATTCGAAAATACAGTGCAGGTTAGAACGAGGCCGTCCTCGGAATGAGGGGTCGCAGCAGGAACCAAGTCATATTATGAGAAACCCTTCCCCCTCGAAGGGTTTTGGGTGCCTCACGAGGACCACATCTGACTTGCTTGCTGGAAATACTCGGTCATAATGTGGCATAACTATAGGGATACCCTCGATGCAGTCAAAAAAAGCTGGCTGCCCTGACCACAACCGCCCACAGCAAGGCCAGAGAGTCGTAATCAACAAATTAACGATGTTCGTTCAGAGTTCGTGGCACAGTAACAGTGTTCGGGTTACTGTGGGCGAACATGCGAAGAACACATGAAGTGGTAGTGGTGGTGGTGGTGGTTGGTAAACTGTGAAGTGCCAATTCTTTCCATCTTCTGATCGACCAGAATTGCAGCCTGGAAAAGGATGACCTGTGTGGGCGGGTGTTTAACGTTCGCTGCTTAAGTACCGGACCCAACCAGCTTTGGAGCTAAATTGAACGTCACAGAACAAGAAGCACCTCACTATACCGAATGAAAAGCAATTTGCGGCGCGCTATCCCCCCTCCTATGCATTCGCTCGCCCCCTCTCCCATCTGTCCTGCTAAATTCCCAAGCACCAATCTTCATGTTCCGAGTCGGAAAGCAGAGGCACAATAATCAGGAATGGGAACAAAACGATGTTGCACAAACCACAGTACCTGAGGTGCCCACACGCCCATTGCCTCAAGTCTTTGATATGTTCCCCGTAGCCTTGATTTTCCAATAGAAGAGAGAAAGATTGCGCGGGAATCTCCTGAATGGTTTCATTCTGCCAGTCAAGCGTTCACTTGGAGCCGTAGTATGTCACTGTCTACGACTGCTCGAGTCTCCGCTCTCAGTTAATTATTCGCCGTATTAGGGACTCGCCTCGACTGAACAGGCATGCTGTACGTATATGCGTGCAATGCAAGAGACATAACAAGACAAGAACTTCGCAAGTAGTCAGAATATCGTCAATATCGGCGATAGGTCAGAACCAGGCGGCTTGACGTGACCCAGTAAGCATACAAGACGGCGACGGCTATCGCGTACAGGATGGGGTCGGCGGACAGATGGTTGGAGTCGCCGGTGGGTCCGGGCGATATCGTGTCGCGCAGCCATTGGATGCCGAACGGAGCCATCAAGCAGTGCACCAACCCTGCTTGCAACCGCGAGTTCAACCGTAAAGAGCGGAAGTAGGTCGTAAGCAGGCGATAATCGTGATCGATAGGTCCTAATTAGTGATCGCTGCCTTGATTCATCCCCCCCCAGGAGATTCTCTAAACTCGATTGTATCGCCTTTACTCGAGCACGAGCCACGGTTAAAATCTTGTTTCGTTCGTTCCTGAATGAAAACCCGTCCACTCAACTCCTCTCTTTTCCCCCGTTGGTTCCACTCCACAGGCACCATTGCAGGTGCTGCGGGAACGTGTACTGTATCGAGTGCACCCAGTGCATCCTGCCGCTCAACCCTATCACCGCCATGGTACGTTCCACGTACGGCCCGATTCGGGTCTCTCGTCGCGAGTGAACACTGCGACGCCGGCAGGTTTCGTCAACACTCATGCGAAAGTCTCCCACCTCCGTCATTTCGTGAATCGGTGTCGTTATGATCCAAAACCACGTGCTTTTTGTTATTTTGTTTTTTATTTCTCGATATTTCCGTTACCTGCAGATCGAGGAAGGAGGAGAGCCATCGAAAGCCTGCGTTTTGTGTTTCGAGGTAACCACACACTATGATCTTCGCTTATTGATCAGGCTCTTTGCTTCGTCCCCTTTCTTGCCTTTCCCCGCGTGCCCTTGCCCGCTGTTTCGCTCCCTGTTCGTAGCACAACCTAACCCTGCTTCTCGTTGATAGCTTACGACGCTTCGTTACAAGCTCCCTCTTCTCACGCCAACTGCTTCGTTTCCTCCGTGTCCGCAGCGAGCGGTCGAAGAGGGTTACCCGTTGGGTCGCTTTCTTCACAACGGCTCCTCCGACTCGTTGGTCTCTGTCGCCGATGGCGACGATAACGACGGCGACGGCGACGGCGATAACGACGAGGTTGACAATGAGGAGGAGGATGACGGTGACAACGGTCGCCATCGTAGGCACTATGTTGACGACAACGATGACCGTTATACTCGTTATAATAATCATCGTGACGATTATGGCGGTGCGATCTCCGACGAGGATAACGCGGAGGACTTCGCGTCGGATAGACGTCACGAGGCGATGCCAACGCGTGCGAATCGCATCCTCGGGAATCCCGAGGGCGCGGACGTCAGCAGGGCACGAAACGACCACCTGTGTGACGACGGCAGCAGTCGCAGCTGGAGCTGCGAAAACTGGCGAAGCAGCGGCGACAGGGACGTGCTCGGAAGCAGCAGAAACGGCGGTAACAAGATCTACGGAAGTAGCAGGGAGCAGCAGACACGGGATGTCAGCCCGAGCGAAATCTCGGGAAGTCGTCCGGGAGCCATGGTTTTTGACAAGTGTAGGAGCTTGGATCACAGAGACAAGGTGGCTGCGCGAGTCTACACGCGGTTTTCGGGCAGAAGCGAGCGGAGCAGCAGCGGCAGAAGCGGCCGGGACCTCTCTCCGCGCGGCGGCATGGATAGCGCTCATAGTGGCTATGGCGCTCATAGTGCCACTAGTGCTCATAGTGCCTCTAGTGCTCATAGTGCTCATAGTGCCTATAGTGCTCGCGAGAATCTGCAGATGAAGGAAAGTGGTTCCGAAGTGTATAGAAAGACCAATACTAGGGGGACTGGTTGCAACGGGGACGACAGGCTTGAGAACAGGTACAGCAGCGACAATCCTTTAAATGTCACATACAACAGAAGCAGAACCCTAGATGTCAGCGATAGGTCCGCCGCCGCCGCCTCCGCCAGGCGACCCCCTTCCAGTAGCAGACCAATTAGTCTACTAGCGAGTAGTTTATTGGCAAATAGTTCCCATAGTTCGCATAGTTCACTAAGTGCCAGTAGCGGTGGTGATGGTGTTGCCAAGAGTTGGAATGAGGCTGCAGGCGGGGGTGGGGGATTCGGTGCCGAGTTTGGGAAGAGCAGGACGCTTGACAGCAGCGACAAGGACGCTATAAGGCGTACGTACGGTGCTGCTAATAGGGCTACCGGTGCTGCTGCCGCCATTGCTGCTGCTGCCGCCACTGCAGCTGCTGCCAGCACTGCCTCTGGCGTACCAGTGCCGCCCACTGGCAAGGCGCGCAGGCAGGTCGCATCAGCCTATCGGCACCTATCCATGGATCTAACGGACAGATTCGGCGACCTCTCGTCGCTGCTCGTAGAGCCGTCCGATCCGAACCACCTGTCGCTGCTCTCCACTGGTGGTGGCCCGGGCGCTTCTGGTGGGTATGAGAGGCATGAGTCGAGTCTGAGGGCTGCTGCTGCTGGTACTTCTCCTCCTCTAGGGCTTTCCGCTGCTTCTTCTGCTTCTGCTGCTGGTGCTGGTGGTGCTGCTGGTGTTGCTGGTGCGCGGTCAGGGCTGGGTCTGCCTCCTCGCAAGGATCCCAAGGCACGGGGATGGCAGCAGCAGCAGCAGCAGCAGCAGCAGCAGCAGGAGTATCAGCATCAACAGCAGCAGACGCATCAGCAAGAGCAGCACGTGTTTTCCCAGCAGAGACCACAGCAAGCATCACCAGCAGCACTGCAGAGACACCATTCCATGCACCCGCTTCTAGCCCCAGGCGCATCCCCCCTCACGCCCTCAGGCCTCCGCCCGCCTCCCCCTCTCACTCCCTCTCCCGCCCCCCGCAGACACGCCCGCTCCAACAGCAGCAGCAATATCCACATCTCCATCTCCCTACCGCCCTTAACCGCTCCTGACTCCTCCCAACGCCCTGCTGCTGACTCTGCTGCCGCCTCTGGCGCTCCCCTCAGGTCGTCCCGCTCGTTTCATTACCAGCAAGCAGAAGCAGCAGCTGCAGAGGCAGTCACGGGTGCACAGACGGAGGCTGCCGAGATAGAAGCAGCTGCTGCTGCTGCCGAAGCAGCAGCAGAAAGGGCAGAGGCAGCAGCAGCAACAGCAGCTGCGGCAGCGCAAAGAGAGGCTCTATACAAGGCGTTAGCAGCACCGTCGATGGTGAAATCACCATCGAGTCATGCACGCGCAGCACGGGAAGGGAGTGTCAATCTAGCTGAACTGCTGACCTCATGGGAAAATGGGGTCAGCTTTCTGGACCCAGACGTATCCCTCCGAACCCCTCGGGACCGCAAGGGCATCTCCTCGCCAAAGATTTCTGCAAACGAGTCATTATCTGACGAGGAAAAAGAAGGAGAGGGCTGCTTTGGAGGAAGTACCGAACCTGTTGCCGAGGCTGGAGGTTCGGTTGGTCTGGGCCTGAAGCCTGCTCGCCTGCAGCGAGCTGCCGAGGTTAAGGCTGACGAATGGAGTGAGGCTAGGCAAAGTATGGGTGGCAAAGCAGGTGATGGTGAAAGACGAATGGGTGGCATAGAGGTAGCAGAGAAGGATGCGGTGCAGAGTGGTGGCAGCGCAAGTGGCAGGGGCAGTGGCAGCAACTGTGTCAGCGGTGGCAGCGGCAGTGGCAAGAGCACATGGGCTAGGAGAAGGCCAAACCTCCGGGTTTACTGTGGCAGCAGCGGTAACTTTGCTGCGTCCCTCCCTAATTCCACCTCCGCCCTTGATGCTCCGCCGCCACTTCCTCAACCTGCTCCAGCTGCCCCCTTCCCTCAGCCTGCTGCTGGCTCTGCTCCTACTTCTGCCACTCGTGACCTGGGTGCTGGTGCTGGTGCCTCTGCTGCTGGAGCTGCTGGTAGCCGTGTTACTGCTGCTACTCGTGCTGCTTCTGGTGGTGGTGGTGGTGCTGCTAGCGCCAGCGCTAGTGCTGGGAGGTTGCAGGAGTGCAGTGCGGTGTGGAGCGGTCCGGTCAGTCTGATTGAGTGGAGCACGAGTGACGTGTGCTCGTGGCTCATCCACTCTGTTGGCTTCCCAGATGGCAGTGGGCGAGGTGAGTTGAGGGATACACATATATATGCACGTCTGCACGCCTGCATGCCTGCATGCACTCACCCATCCTGTCTGAAATAGTGAAGGAGTAGTGACATGTGCTCGTGACCAATCAACAAAACGCCCGTTCTTGTCCTTCTCTCACCCTCGCTCCTTCCCACTCTGTTCTCCTTCTTCCGCCTTTTCCTCAGAGTACGCACATGACTTTGATCAGCATCAAGTGGACGGTCTCTCACTCGTTGGCATCACAAACTCCCACCCGGCCCTTGCTCGCATGCGATTGGCCGATTATACCCTCTTCGAATCCCACCGCCGCCAGCTGGTTACCGCAGAGGCTGCTGCCCCTCCTGCCGCACACCACCCACCTCCACCGCTCTCAACCGTTGACTTCTCCTCCGCATCTACCTCGTCTGCCGTAGATTCTGCTGCAGCCGCTGGTGGTGGCAGTGCGGTGCTCTGCGGCGGTGCTGTGAACGGCAGGGTTGGAGTGGGTGCAGTGCGGTGCGGCTCCGACCCCACTGTTCTCCTGCATCACTTACCCAAGCAACACTCAGTTAAAAGCCGACATTATGACGCCTCCTCTACTGCCAACACCCCGTCAGCTCTCAGTTGCAGGTCATCACAGCCCTCCCATTCTCCCTGGTCCTCTCCCTCCTCTACCTTTATCCAACGCACCTCTAGTGGTAGTAGTTTCTGCTCCCTCCCTCCCCTCTCCTCCTCCTCGCTCAACTCTTCCTCCCACCCTTCACATTTCCCCCACTCCAGCCATCCCTTCCGCCACCGTCGCACCAGCAGCATCGGCGCCTCAATCGTATCAGATCTTCTGCAGAAAAGGACAAATACCACCGGTGGGGCAGGGGAAGGCCGGCCGGCAGCAGTGCAGTCTCCTGCCGCCCGGATAAGCAGGCAGGGGAGCGGGGTGGCCGGGGCTGTGGGGGGGTGGTTTGCTGGTTGGGGAAGCAGGCAGGAAGGACAGCAGGAGTCTGAGGAAGAGAGGGAGAGGGCACGAGATCTGGAAGAGAAGGAAGAGAGGAGAAGACGCAGCAAGGGAGAGGAGGAAGAGGGAGAAGAGGGAGAGGAGGGAGAGGAAGAGGGGGAAGGAGATGAGGAGGGGGAGGTGGTGGCGGCGGTGGTGGAGGAGGTGGTGTGTCTGCGAGGGGAGGTGACAGCAGCAGAGGAGAGGGAGTGCACCGTCAAAGCACAGTGAGTCGCCTCCTGCTGCTGCTGCTTTCCCGCTGAATCCTTTTCTTTCTTTCTTTCTTTCTTTCTTTCTTTCTTTCTTTCTTTCTTTCTTTCTTTCTTTCTTTCTTTCTTTCTTTCTTTCTTTCTTTCTTTCTTTCTTCTTCCTTCCTTCCTTCCTTCCTTCCTTCCTTCCTTCCTTCCTTCCTTCCTTCCTTCCTTCCTTCCTTCCTTCCTTCCTTCCTTCCTTTCTTTCTTTCTTTCTTTTCTTTTCTTTTCTTCCCGATATGTATTTGTTTGCTGCATATTGCGATTATGCCACTTGCCTCCAACCCTTCATACTGCTTTTCCTCGCTCACCCATCTTCACCTTCCCCTTCCCCCTCTGCGTTCAGGCTGTGTCACCTGGATGACCTGCTAAAGGAGTCTCTGCTAGTGGAGTATCTCCCCACCAGGACGGTAAGCACCAGGCATGCATGGCTCTCTCAAATGGTCCTCTCTTTCCCTCTCGACTCTTTCTCTTCCACTCCCCCACACTCTTCTGCACCTGCAAATCCCCATCAACCCTCCTCCCCCTTTCCTTCCTCCCTCCCCTTTTCACATGTTCCCCGTTCCTTCCTTCTTCCTGTTCCCCTTTCCCCCCGCACCCTCCCAGAAATGGGCGTCCACACCGAACGACCCACCTACTCTCAATGGCACCACCACCACGGAGGAGGACGAGTGGGTGCCGCGCTTCGTGACGCTCACGCCCACCGACATAGCATGCTACCTGCACGCCACCGACCTGCACCCGCAGATCACCCTCCCCGTCGCCTCCATCGCCTCTGCCGGCACGCTCCACATGGCACCTGCAGCCCCGGCTGTAGCAAAGGAGACATCATCTGCTGTAGCAGCGGCTGGGGGGGCTGCTGTAGAAGCGCCGTCATCATCATCATCATCATCATCGGAGGAGTGGCTTGCGTTCCACGTCACGACCAGCTACGGGTTCAAACTGGAGTGCGCCACTCGCAGCTGTGCCAAGGTGAGGCTCGTCGCGTTCTGACAGTCTTTAGTTCACCCATCTTCACCTCTCATTACCCCTCTTGCTGCCCAAGCGTGCACCTATCTAACCTCAAGCCTTTCCACCCGTGCAACGCCTCTGTCCCTCCGTGCAGCTGCAGCTGTGGCTGGCAACAGTGCATGAGGCCATTGCTAATGCTGGCATCAACTCTACAACTGTCGGCAGCACCATCCCGCTCCCTCCCCCCAACCTCACCTGCTCTTGATTTGGAGGCACTACTATTGGCCGGCTAAAATGAGCTGGCGATTGAGCAACAGTTGCACGGTTGTCACATCTCACAGCACCATGCTGCACCGCATTGTACCACACCATGTGCGCAGACACACCTGACATCATGCCAACTGAGATGTATGGTGGCTGGGAGTCCAGGGAATTGCCTTCAGCCACATCCATGCAAATAAGGGACATGCCCATGTGGTTTGGTTTAATATATGTACAAGCTTTTGATACATCCTGTTTTGAATAATGTCCTGTTATGGAAAATGCATTCAATTTGTGGGTGCTGGCCTTATTCAGGTAAGAAGCGTTTAGAATTTATTCACCAGATTTTCTCAGTGCGTTTCTCTATGCGAGTGGATTGCACGGGTTGCAGAGGGTCGTGGGTGGGAATGGATGAGCGACGTAGCAAATTTCGTAACGCGAAAGTGTGTTGCACAAGAGTGAGTGACGAATAGCCAATCACAGTGAAGAACAAGATAGCCATAGCTAACCCTCGTACACCAGCCACTCCTCGGTCTCGCTCGGCACATCCACCCCACCCCACCATTTCGCAAGTTCCAGTGTTCAATTCCGGGAAAGTACATGCCATCTCCCGAGGATCAGAACTTTCTCAAATTTAGTCTCAAGTTCACGCAAAAGGTATAACTCATTTGAATTTTGCTTACGCGAGGCCCAAACTATGTTCAAAAGTGGTCCTGCGGGGAAAAAATTTCGACACGTGTCTATTTTCTTATTGGAAATGTTTTGATGGGGACAAAAAACATAAAATTCCTAGGGAACAAGACACATTCGCGGGAGAGATCAACCCTAAACACTTAGCGGGTCCCCGTGTTTAGGGTTGATCCCTCCCGAAAATGTGTCCTGGTCCCCCTAGGAGTTTTATGTTTTTTGCCCCGTCAAAAGTTTTCCGGTGCGAAAATGGACACGTGTTGAAACGTTTGCCCCACAAGACCAGTTTTGAACATAATGTGGGTCTCGCGTGGGCAAAACTCCATAAAGCTGTACTTTTTGAGTGAACTGAGGACTAAATTTGAGAGATTTCTGAAAACATGGAGCTGGGATGTACTTTCCCTTCAATTCCCCGTGTTCGCTGGCGGGAGATGTGTTGGGAGGAGTTCTAGCCTCTGCATCCACCAATGCGAGATTCTGGACAGAAAGGAATTCAACGACTCGGTACACGTCTCAGAACCCCGAAAGGCAGACACCTTCCGCCGCCCTCTTGGACATGTGCAGCGTGAATCGTCTGCTTGTGCATGTGCTGCTAGGGTGACATGTCCTGCTGCTGGCGCCATCGTCGTGTGAATGATATAATGCTGCTGCCTTTTTGTCGTCTCAACTTGTGACGAGCTGTTCAGTGCGAAGTGGTCACCGAAACTTCGCGAAGTCGTCACTGATATCGCCACGTTCGCCAACTCATTTTCGCGAAAACGTCACTGGCAAGCACGCCATTTTCGCGTCGCTTCCTTCGAGTCAGATCAGGACGAAACGCGCTGACCTCGCCCTTAGGAAACCTTGCGACTTCGCCTCCCCTGTCCCTTCCAATTCAAGATATACGATCGAAACAACCTTCGATTCCTCCGTTCTTGTTGGCGGGAGATGCGTTGGGAGACGCCCTCCACTGAGCCTAAGTCTTGCACAGCTTCTGGACTGAAAGGAATCCGACGATTCAGTACCCGGAACCCGGCAGACACATATGACCATTCCTCACTCCCGCGGCCCGCTTGCCAAGCGGACATGTGCAGCGCGAATCGTCCGTGCTTGTGCGCATGTGCTGCTAGGGTGACAGCCCTTCTCCTGGCACCATCGTCGTGTGAAAGATTTCACGCGAGTCGCACGACGATGACCCGTCCAAGATTATCACCCAACTGCTCTAGTAAGGAGCCCCCCCCCCGCGCATAAGTAGCAACGAACTTGGCTGTTCTTCAATATCGCGTTATCTAGTTCCGCATCTTTCATCGCCAAATTGTAATGTCTCGAAACTGTCCCAGAAGATTCTTTTCGAATACTTTGGGGACAGGTTGAAAAGTGTCTCGAAAGACACTTTCGAGACTAAGTGAAATGTCCTGAAAGTGTCATGCCTAACTGACCCGAAAGTGTCTTTCGAGACACATTCGAGACATATCCAACCAGCACATTCAGGACTGTCCTCATGAGAGATTCGAGACACTCAAGAGACAAATTTTCAAGTTTAAAGCCCGTATGCATTATAAACACTACACTATTACACTGTTCCAAAAAATAGGCTACCGCACATATGCATCCAACTTCAACGTCCTTCAATATTTGCACCACTCTGTGCATTATTTTTTGGTTGCTCTTAAATCCAGAGTGTATCAATCATATTTTATCCTGAACACAAGACATCACATTGAAGTTTTAATCAGTGAATGCCTCAGTTGATGCCTAACCAAATGTGATGCAGAAACAACTAGTATGCAACTTATTCATCCAGCAGTCCACAGAAGACGACGTAGATTGGAATGAAAGTTACAATTACTCTTCGTCTTTATCTGTACCTGCCAGTTGGCCAAATGTGGCAAATTACAATTAACCATCAATTGCGTGAAGGGAAATAAATGCTCGAAAAACGCACGGGCGAAGATATTGACATGCCCTTTCTTCAATTTCTGTTGAGGGTATTCTTACAATCAAACAAAAACACAGCAAGTAAAAGCAGGATTATATACTTTTAAAGAACGACAACGTTAGATAAAATAGAATTGCATGAATACATCAAGCGTAGCCAGAATGACACGGATATGCATGACAGGTTTAAGGGTACGAAATACTAACCGTCATTTCAAATTGTATTTGCTGTCGTGATCCACTGCCATGGAAAGGAAGGAACGCAAGGGAAGAAGATGCACAAATTAGATGCATTAACATTGAAAAGGACGATATAGTTGATGGGAGATAAGAGAGTAACTAAGAGATGCTAATCGACATGACGGTTCTGGTGACGATAGAAGAGGTAGAACAAGAGCGCTATTAATTGCAAACAAACAGAAATGCGAGCTATAGGGATTCAGATATGAAATCCCGTTGAAAACTTCAACGGGAGTTACTAGTAGAGCCAAGTTATTGGCAGACACAGAGACAGAACAACAAAATACGAGGAGAAAGAAATGAGTTGTGACGAGCAAAACGCTCTAATCCAGCAAAACGATTGAAATTTGAGGGAGGTTTGGATGGGTTTCACTAGTTTCGCAGTGGCTAACGTGATGAGGTTTTCACATTGAAGTGGTTGGCACAGGTTGTTGAGTATTTGGGTTGTGTGGTGGCAGTGACGCGACTATTTTCCAGTGCACGTGGCGATTTTGATGCAGTTGGCAGGTGCCACGTTGGTTTGCATGACAGGTGGCGCAAAGGTACTGCTTATTTCGGATCGGGATGCGTTTTTTTCAACGAACGAATTTCCTAAAAGAACTTGTTAAAAAACTCCAGATAAGATACACGTTAGCTCCTAGCCCAGTGGTCTTGTACTTCAGATGTTTTCCGAAGTTGTTGAGTTCGATTCCCAATGAGGTTCTTTGACGCTAAACACAAAAGCAATATTTTGTTTTGTTGTACTTGTTTTGAGTGCCAGTTTTTGTAACAAACTACTGGTAACATTGTGGGATTATGATTACCACCAACATTGTGGTGTACTTATATTTCGTAATGAAATATTCCAGAAGGGTACAACACGAACGAAAATCATAAACAAAATCTACACCCAACGCAATGGAACTGACATCGACGGGCATCGGACCTGCGTCTTCTGATCGCGTTGCAGTTCTAACCTTCCCAGGCCTGGGCAGATTACGGCACAAGTCACTTTTGGGACATGTTGAAATGTAGCGCAAAACCGCCTGAAGACGAAAATGTCCCGAAAGTGTCTTTCAAGATAGTTTCGGGACGGATTTGTGTCTGTTCTGGGACAGAATGGTTTCGGGACAGATTGGGGACCACACAATTTTGGTGATGTTGCTCGCTACTGCAAACGGCTCGTCTCTCTCTCATCTCTTATCATGGAGCGAACTGTGCTCTGCTGGTTACTAATACGTGAGCGGCCATTGACGCCCTTTCGCAAGTGCATCCCTCCGGCTCTGCCGTCTTCTGTTTTAAACTCGTCTTGGGTGGTGTTTGTGCCTTGTGCAGTTGTAACGGTCGTCACGGTGGGTGCAGAGTCTGCAACGTCATCATCGCTCCCAAAGACCCCCCCAGTGGCACCTTCAGCGTCCCTCGCAGCCTTCCTCCCCGTCGCTGGACGGCTGCCTGTCACTTCCTCTGCTTATGCCACTCCGCTGGTGAAGGGAAAGGTGTTTCGTGAGTTCTTCCTTCAGCCTAATGTTTCTCGATTTTTTAATATGTCTCAAAACTTGTATACCAAGCGATGATTTCCATGAATATGTTATTTGCTTCAAGGTGTCTGACTGCGCTCTGTTTGTTACTGTTACTACTCCACCCGTTGCCCAGGGTCGTACTGTCTTTCCACAACAGGAAGTTGGTTCACCCCCGACTTAACACACCTACTAACTCTCTTGTGCCTACCCTGCCTTCTCATTCCAGTGCGCTATGTGGCCAGGCTCACTCCCCCTCGTAGCAACGGAAAAGTGGTTGGCGACCGAGGAGCAACTGGAAAAGTGATTATGAAGGGAATCAAGTAAGTTCGCTTCTTCTTAACCACTGTAATTGGCTTTGGCGCAGCTATGAAAATGCTGGCAGTTATTGCCATCGAAGCTATTGATGATATCTTGGACGATTCAGTTTATCACAGAAAAAGCAGGTTGTTACCTATGCGTTCAACACTTCTAAGAGTCTGAACGTGTCTTATGCACAAATATCATGTGGGGGGGCACATGAATCAACACGTGGTGCTCCTGTCCCTCCTATTCTCCCTTGCCTCGATGACAGGGCCTCTGCAAGTGCCTGCTACCTCGTGATCAAGATGCGAGTCAACAACATCCAGTCTGGGGGGGCTGCGCCCTTAATTAGCGCCGTTAC